CAGATAAGCCTAGTGCTTCGTTCTCACAGCTCTAATATCATAAAACAGGGATTCACATTCTGGTCCTTAAAAGTGAGTGCTGGAAAATTAATTAATTTTTATATTCTGCTATGGTATTATTATTCTTTTGGGAAGTGGGTGGAAAATCTTGCTTTCTGTTTCAAAGTGATTGGTAAACACCTGGCATTTAAGATGTTATTAATGCTCTCATGCTTTGGCTCTAATTACAGGCTTTCTTCAATTAAAAAGTAACTAATTGTATCTAACTGCCAAGTATGTACACACTAATAAATAACTCACCCAAACTGGCCTATATTTTGAACACAGTATGCTAAATGGTAAATGTGGTAAACACGGTGCTCATGTTATAAAAATGTGTTCTTTCACTGTGTTATGCTTGATTTATATGAAGAATTTTCTTCTGTACTTCTAAAATTAATAACTTTTGAACAGTTTCCTTAGATCAGGGTGATAATTTATTTGGTAAATTATTTTGTTTTGAACGTATCAATACAGATTTCTTGAAAGCTGGACATCTGAATCGTGTATTTTTAAAAATATAATTCAGCATGGAAGAATGCATGTATAAATTAATCTCCAAGTAATTATTGCCAAGGGCAATAAGATAAAAGGAAACTAACTATTTTCAAAGTCAAATGAAAGATAGTTTCACAATTCATCTAACCTATTGGGTGAAACTAAGCTAAAGATAGCTTCATTATAAAATTGTACAGCAACACTAGAGGGCGTTCTAGCAGAAAATTGCATTCACAAATGAAGCTAATATGCTTTATATTTTACAATACATCTCAGCAGATATTTCTTCTGTTTAATAGAAATAATAACTTATTACATGCCTTAAGATATTTAAAAGAATAATACTAACCCCAATTAAATAAATAGCAATATTCAGGTAATTTCAGAAAAAACATACCTTTGCATATAGTAGATATTCTTTCATTTAGATTGATACAAACCTTATCCATTAATGTACATATTCAGAAGAATAAAGGGTGCAGTTTCTGCCAGGAAGAATAAAAAGGAATTTCAATGTAGAGAAGTCCAAAGCAAGCAAGCACCATTTCCTTACACAAAAATGCATTGAGATGTATTATATACCCAATACACTAAATATAACATAGCCCAACTTGGATGAGTTTATACTGGTTTGATGAATTGAGCATTTGATACATAGAGATCCAGTGACATTTGCTTGCCTGAAGTAGGCAACTGGAGTCAACCATTCAGTAACGAAAATGGAAATACTATTTGCCGTTTGCTGTAATTCACATAAAAGAATCACCAATGTAATGAAATGTGGCCAAAGCAATTGTTACCTCACCATGCTTTACTGTTGTATTTGCAAACATTGCAATTATGTTTTCATATCACCAGGTGTATAGTCTTGTTTTTAATGCTAAAAAATAGGGATGTGGGTTAAATGGCAGTATCCATGTGTAAGAGGAACTACCAGCTAATTTAGCTGACCTTGAATTTTGTGGGAGTAAAATCAATTACACTTATAGACAGAGAATTCAATAAGCAAGAGTAATAAACAGGTTGTGGAAAAAGATGGAATGGAATAGAATGGTTGTAAAAAAGGAAAAGAGACATATAAGGGGAAACTGATTTCCTGGTTCACAGAAAAAATAATTTTTAAAATTATTAATGGGCACAAATTAGTGCAACCATAAAAAGCAATGAAGAAAACCAGGATTTTAATGCATGTGAAAGTGGGTATCTGTGTCATCAAACCTTCTTATGTCACATAAAAGCTTATATATTTTCTAATTCAATCCTTATTTATATGGATATTTCACAGATTTGGAAAGTATAGGTTACAGATTAATTGCATTCTTATGGTTAAATTAAGGTAATGGGATAATGGCTTACATATAAAATGTAAGTTGCAAAACACAATCTTTCTGTGAGAATACAAATTGTTCAAATAAATAGACTCACATACACACCGAGAGAAAATGTAGCCCAATGGAAATATAGAACGAGGAAGAGAATATATAACATTTCTATATTCTTATATTTTGCACATTACTGCTTGTATCCATTAAATGTACCTGAAGGGTGGCAATTTTAGACTTTCAGAAACAACACTAAACATTTAATTCAATTTTGTTTTGCCCAGTTCCAAAACAACTCTGAGCTTTGACAATTTATTATGGCATAAACTTTCCACAAACTAGAGAAGGCTCACGCTCATAATAAAACTTGTTAGCCTTTCAATTGCCACAGTGCTTCTTTCCTTTATCTGATGCACACCACTTGAAACGTGGATCAGAAACGTGGACTGCTATCGTTCTCTCTTCCCTTGCTCAATCTGAAATACTATTTAAAAAATAATAATAGGTAACTGCCACCCAACGAATCGAACCCCATTTATAGAATTTTAACAAGGCCTCTTTTTGACAGCGAATGGATGAATTCAACTATGCGATCTTCGCGTAAAGAAAAAACGCAGGATATCAGCACGAGAGGCAAAGGACAGCTCCGGAATCAGGGAGGGGGGGGGAATGAAAACTTTCCTCAGGCAATTTTCCAAGGCGCAGATAAGACCGCCCGTTTTGCATTGGCCAGAAAGCGGCCAATCACTTCCAAAAAACACAGTCGATCTGTCCCCGAATTACTGATTTCACCCCCGAAGTTGGATATAAATCTCTGAAAGATTTCTAGCACGTTAAGATTCCCTCCGGTCCGCAAGCTAAGGCGCGTAAAGGCAAGGAAATTCGTACCACGACGCCTCCAATCGAAACGCCCTCCCTGCCTTCCTAAATTTCGGGAAACAATGCAAACGGAACGGAGGAAGAGGTGGGTGGGTGGAGGCCGTCGGGATCAAGATGCCTTTGATTCCCATCCCCGCCGGCAACCCTGCAAGCCAGCCCGAAGCTACCGCAGGAGGGGGGAGGGGAGTGAAGTTCTGGTCTCCGCTCCCGCCTGAAGTTCGGCCGCCGCTCCCCGCGCGAGGGGCGGAGCTTGTGGCGCCCTCCCGGGGCTGTCGGTGCGCTCTGGCTCGCTGCATACGGATCGAGGGGCGGGCTGAAGCCGGGGGGGAAGTCCCACGTGCCCCCTCCTCCTCCTCTGCATGCCTGCGAAGGCCGAGGAAGCTTTTTAGCAACTGCGGCTGCCAGCGTCGCCGCCGCTGCCACCTCTCGGAGAGCTCGCCTCGCTATTCTCCGGCAGCGGCTCTTCTGCCTTGAGCGGGAGAGCGGGAGGCACAAAGAGGGAGCCTTGGAGAGGGGGGGGGTGCTCGGGGGCGCCAGAGAAGTGCAGCGAGCGGAGGAAGTAGAAGAGGAGGAGGAGAAAAACAAGCACCTGGGGCTCGGCTGCTCGCCTCGCCGCCGTTCTTCCCCAACCCCTCCGCCCGCCTCTCATGCCATTACAGCAACAAAGAGCACGCTGAGCAGCGGGCGGAGAGGCGCCCTGGCTCCGAGCTCCGTCAGCCCAGAAGGCGGCGGAGGACC